ACTTTTTTAGAGTTAGATTTAAGTTGCTGAACTGCAAGTTGTTCATATGTAGCAATGAAGGGAGCAGATGCATCTGGTGAGTGCTTCTTCGAGTTTTCATACTAATATATATGCAACCGCTAGAATACGTCCATACTTTGCGGTAGCGTTCTGAGCGTCTCAGCGTTGTGAGCGACTTGGAAAGTATAGGTATGGATCTAGAATTTTGGGCGTCCGCAAGCGTTTTCAGTGGTTATCGATACCTATATATTCTTAGTCGCTTGAAATGCTGATGAACCCTGCTGGATCACTACCTATACTTTCCTATTCGCTCGAAACGCTGGCGCAAAGTTGAACGCACTGTTACTGTGAAATCGAAAAAGCGAAGTGTCGTCTGGGTCACACATGTAGCCCATCGCCCCTTGTGTGATCGAATAGCATCAACACAATCTGTCTTCTTCAGGTCCTCTAGTGCCTGACAGTGTATCTGCCAAATATCCGGCGCTTCTGCATGCTCTGTCATCGGATAGCGCGCAACCGTCGACTTCAGGAGAAGATTCTGCGCCTCCTTCAGGTAAGTTATTCGTCCTTATCCGTTAGTTCATATCGTGTGTTCCACGAATTCGTGACAGATGAGTATATTCAGACGAAAAGAAGCTGTCTCCCCGACGTCGTTTTGGTGTGAACATGACGGGGCACCTGTTTCGCGGAGAGCTCGGTGTCAGTCAAAAGGGTATTCATCCTGTTATAAAATATCCCATTCCTGGTGAGTGTACTGAACAGATTGAGTCAGTCATAGTTTAGCCTTTAATTAAACCAATGATGTTTAGGTGGAGATTTGTGTTATACTTTCGAGCAAGTGCGTACCACCAAGCAAGGGGTGGTGGTATACCGATGTAGAGCATGCAGGAAGAAACGCAACACTACTACCATAGCAGTACTGAGAACCTTTCATCACTCTTCTGCTGTAAGAACTCAACTAGTAAGGTATTCTAGGTTCAGAATGAATGTGAGTTCATTGGAGATCCTGCCGAACTCCCACATGTCTGCACTCCAATGAACAGTGTAGAGGACAAGGTCACGCGAATGGTATACCAGGTAAGAGTTAATTGTTGGTGCTTGTTTCCTGTACGCGCTTCAAAGATAAGAAGAGCATTTAGTCATGCCATGCTATTGCGACGGAACCGCAACTTGCCGAGGCCAAACCTAATCAGTTGTGGAAAAGTATAGCCCAGTTGATAGATGATAATGCCCCTGATGGTAAGCCTCACGCGAGCGGTACGCTTAACGCAGATGGTTAACTGTTTAGTTTAGATGATGCTCAGCGTAACGAGATGCTCAAGCATTTTTACAAGCGTGGGTATGAATCCAGGAGACAGTCAATTGCAAGGTAAAAGTCTTCGCTACTGTACAGGTTGGGGTCAAACTACTATTGAACCTGCATTTTCGATGATGTTTCTGGATCACCATTCAGAAATAAGAATGATTATTATCCATGTCAAATACAGCAAGCGCACAAGTATTACCAGCTCTCAAAACGGTGAAACTCAACTTTCACACAGTTTTCCGGACGTTTAGCGAATACATCGAATTTGGTCTGCGGTGATCATCAATTCGGCCCTAACATTAAGGTGCCGTTTTAAGAGAGTTCAAACTTGGATGACTGGAGACCCTTTTATCGTGTGTCATTGAGTCAGGAATCTACTCGCACACTCTTGACCACTCTCGCTTTTCGTGATAGATGAGAATCTTGCTGAAGCAATATTTAGATTCTCAAAAGTTGCAAAGTCCGTGAACTGAGAGTTTTCCCTAGAAAAATTTCTTAACTACGCGTTCGTTTTGAATAAAACTGAAGAAAACCACTCCAGTCTTCCTACTTAAGTGACTACTGCGAACCTAGGCGCGTTTGCGTCCGCGACCACCACTATTTCGAGCGTACGCCACCGCCAGCGACTAGGAAAGTAATATCGATCAGCGAAAGCCAGTATCTACCAGCGTTGCGAGGGGCTGAGGAAGTTAGGTATCTGTCTAGCGGACACCATCGTCTACCAGCGCACAGCAACCCTTTGGCTAGCAAAACTGTCCGCGAAAACGCTGGCGTTCGCTATATCGATACCGTTGCAGGTAGACTGATACCTGTACTTCCCTAGTCGCCGGTAGACGCTGTCGGACGCTGGTGACGGTGGCCTTCGCTATATTGATATATACTTTCCTAGTCGCTGGCGCTGGTGTACGCTCGGAACGCTGCTGGACTCTGGTGGTTGCTGACGCTAAGTATAAACGCACCTTACGGATTTCAATTTTTCCAGGAATCTTTCTTTCTTGCTGATGGGAACAGCGAGTCTTTCTCCACCTTCTGGAGTTGTAGACCTTTGTTATTACATCCGGAACGGAAATCCTTACGACTAGAAAAGTATCTCGAGCGCATACGGAGACCTTGTGTTCGCCAAACCTATGAGGAACTGCGCGAAGGGTAAAGGCGATCATTTAGAAATCTGCTGATATTTTCTCACGCTGCTATGTATGTAATAATTTCACTGGAAGAATCGATATCTGAAATGTGGTCTCGAAGTTTCAGCAAAATATTAATTGCAGCAGTACCTTTGCCGGCGGCTGTTTATCGACGGGGGAGGGGGGCATTTTGTATTATAATTGCTTCCCTGGTTCCGGTTTACAAATCTCACTCTGGTAAAACTTGTGAACGCTTGTGAAGCTGGAGCAAGATCGTCTAGCCACCATCCTAAAACGTGTCAACTCGAAAAAAGGGTACCTAGATGGGTTGGCAAATCTATGAAAAGCAGAATGCCCCCGTCGATAAACAGCGCCCCTTTGTCTAACGTCTTGCCCGTAAGAATGCCCATTTAGAGCAGCTGCGAAGCTCCGCGCCGAAAAACGAGCTAGCGAGCAAGAGGACGAAACACCAAATTCGATAAAAAAAGAGAAGTTATCGTAGTCTGTGTCAGACAGTTCAGTGGATTTAGTGATAGAACTTTATCTTTCCTGAGAACAGTTCCTGAGAGCACTGCTTAAGTCATTACTGTGTAATTTTTGCCTGTTGAACTGCCTGTGGGTGCATTGCAGCTTGAAAACTTTTCACTTCTTTGTACATATGGTGACGAATCACGCTTAGGCCGCGTTCATACATGATGCAGAAATGCGGAATATGCAGAACTGCGGAATTTGCAGAAAGGAAATATATACGTATCGATCTGAAAACTGCATTTCTTCAAATTCCGCGGAATTTGCCGACATGCAGAAATGACGGACAAAGAATTGATAGGGATCGATGGTTCTTCCCTGCCGTCGTGCGGAATTGGGAGAAATGCAGAATCTGCAGATTCTGCAGATTCCGCACGACGGCAAATTCCGCGGAATTTGCACATGCAGAAATGACGGACAAAGAAGCGATAGGGATCGATCGGTCCATCGGCATTTCTGCAAATTCCGCACTTCTGCATATTCCACGGTTTTTGAAATCGATAGACATATTTTCTTTTTCTGCAAGTTCCGCGGTTCTGCAGATTCCACAGTCTGCAAATTCCGCAGTTCTGCACCATTCCGTTATCGGCATTCGCAATCATGTACGCACCGTCCTACACCCATCGACATGTAAGAGATGCTTCTGGCTACTACTGTGCAGTCCTGTCAAGTGTGGATGTAAGTGAGGCTCTTACACCCTTAGTGATTATGCACTCCTCATTTTATTTTTGACGTTTTAATAAAAAATCTGAGCAGCTTGTATTCTTCTGTCGCTCAAATTTCAAGTATTGTTCGCCTAGAGCAATGTAAAGCGATCTCCTTCAAAATAAATACATACTTAACTCGCAACCGTACGTTCCCTCGCCACTCTGTCAGGTTGAAGATCCGGACCTGTAACACCTCGTAACCTTCTCTCTAGCCCAGTTGCGCACAGGGAACGACAACTACCGCGAACAGTATACTTTAAGAGGGCTGCCTGAGCCAAACTGTTAAAACATCCCCCAGAGCACTCACATCTGCCGCGAGATCCTTCATTAATGAACAATTACAGCAAAGGTGTGAATGACGGACCGAAAAATTCAGACGCGAACATGAACGGGGCAAGTAAGAAAATCATACTCCTAACTCGCTAATGCCTTGGCATTTGACGAAGCGCCCGTCCGACAACCCTGCCCCATAGGGTTTCCAAGTGACACTCAAACAAGTCATGGAGGTAATCCTAGCAATTCACACTCCCATTGTTTTCGCCAACTATCACTCCCCAAAGCAGCAGACAACGAGAGACTGAGTGCATGGCGGCGCCTCCCCACGAGATACACCGCCCAATCACCAAAACGCGCAGCTCGCGACGCTATGCGCACTGCGACCGAGACGGTCAGGTGTCCAATAACCTACCCCGCACTCCGTCTCTACCTGTGATCAAAGGTTTAGTACTTGTCCGTGGTTAAATGTCCATAGGTAATTGAGCTTGCTGTAATATGATCACCATTGCCTTCACGCTTTGTTCGTCAATCTAGTGTATCGGCCATGCGTACCAACTCGTGAGACTTACGATGCAAGCACATTCGTACTACGCGGAAAAATTTTCGACTAATACGACACAAACTCATCGCCTCAGTTTCGTTCCTGCTCAACTCCGCTTCGCTTCTCCGGTACTGTTTGCCTTTTCCACGACAACTAGTAACCCATACAACTAGAAGAAACGGGAAAAACCGCGAAAGTCAACATTCTCTCCAGGCTGTACAACCTGCCTCCGGTCTCCAACGGTGAGCAGATACGCCCCCATCCATTGGATTCCTCCCAAAGATATGAATGGCGACCGTGAAATAGTAAAATAAAAAAAAACAAAAAATTTTTGTCAGACCAAGTACGACCCCCTGGACTCCTGATGGGGATTACCTAACGTAGAACCCGCACTGTTTACGATGAAGCAGGATGAGTTCATCCACTTTTAGTCACATGCACGCTTCAACAAGAAGGTACAAAGGGCTTTGACGGGGTGACACCTCATACAGCCTGACACGCCCAACCGTCCACAGCGAAATAGATATAATAATTTAGGACTCAGAAGTGTGTGGCCTGCAATCGTCACGAAAACGTTGCTGATAATATACACAAAATAAGTCGTAGGGTGCTAATCAAGTATACAATGGTGCTCACGCGACGGTGGGGCGGTCCTACGACCATGCTGGCGAGCGGTCCGACGTTGCGTGTCGGTGGAAAGGCGGAGGCCTCGGGCCATCACCATCACTGTCTCTGCGCTCTCTAACATTGACTCTGCGCTTGAACACACGCCGCCGCACTACCTACTCACTCTTCCGTCTGGACTCTCGCCAATCGATAACTGTAACGTTACCAATCAGCTGATTTCTGCAATACTTTTTTGTTGTTTTTCTGCTATATTCAGCTTGTAAAAGCTGAAACTATTCTAGTTTCGACTTCGATTTCCAGAGGTGAGTATGTTTACTGGAATTAGATTACATTTTGCATAAATTCAGCATGGAATTCTCTTAGAAAACTTGCTTCATCTCTTCGCATTTTTTTTAACTTCCCCTGAATGTCTTCGTTTAAACTCTAGTTCGCTGCGGACGGTTGGTGTCAGGCAGTATGAGTGTCACACCGTCAAAGCCGTTCTCTGCCTTCTTGTTGAAGCGCGCATGCGACAAAAAGTGGTAGAAAACGAGTAATACGAACGATATGATACAGTCATATCACTTGCTCGCTTTAACAACTGGTGGAGAACGGGTTTGGCACCGCGCCAAACTCATCCCGCCTGACACGCCCAACCGTCCGCAGCGAACTACACTATACTTCGATACTACTGACTAAATTCATGCAAAATGAAATCTAGCTTCATTGAAAACATACTTACCTTTCCTTATTGGAGCTGGACGAAAAATAATTTCAGCTTTTTGAAGCTGAAAACAATAAAAAACAGTTTAAATGGCGGACCGTCCCACCGTCCGATGAGAACTCAACTGTAACTACCCCAAAAAATCGCGAAAT